TCTACTATATAATATATTAGAGGTCCTGTTATATATTTTACTTACTTATTTATTCTACTTACTTATTAACTATATTAATACTTATACTTTATACTTATAAAGATTTAACTTTTATTATTATATTATATACAACATACTTTAATATTATATAGTATATACTAGCCTTTATAAAAGTATAATTATACTTTATATCTTTATATACTATATATATTATACTTTTTAATTATATTCTATATACTAACTTTTATAAATATAAAATTATACTTTATATCTTTATATACTAGATACCTTATGATTTAAAGTTATATAGTATACATAAGCTTTTATAAAAGTATAAGTATAGTTTATCTCTTTATATACTATATAGCTTATATATATTAAAAAGCTTAGTTTACTTTATAGTTTATAAATGTTAAGTATACCTTATATATCTTATAATTACTTACTATATATATAGCTTATAACCTTCTTAGTTTACTAAGTATTTAACGCTTTTCAGCTTAATCTTTATTAAGGTTATATTCTTATTATATACTTAGGCTCTTATTATATTATATATAACTTACCTTACTACTTTAAATTATATATAATACTTATATACGTTTTACTAGTAAACTAATATTATATACATTATATAATAGAATATATAAGAATTAAAGTAAGTAAATATTTATTAATATTTTAATACTACTTTAAGTATTACTTTTTACTATTTAAGATTTACTAAACTTAGGTTATATTATTTACTAACTAATATTACTCTATTAGATAGATTCTCCTATAACTCTAAGCCTTCTTTATTATAATAAGTACTTAGGCCTAAAAGAAAAAGTTAATTATTATAATACTTTAAATATTATAATTAATAATAATACTACTACTAGTATTATATATCTAGTTAACTTAATAAAAGAATCTAATAATTATATTTCTTCTATATATTCTATTTTACTAGATAATCTAGAAGAAGAAGAAAGTAAATAACAAGAATTACAAGAAAGATAACATATTAATACTTTAGAAATATTTAACCCTTATACTATATTATATAATATTACTATAAATAATAAAAAGACTATAATTAGTAATACTTTAAAGCTAATACTATTTAAGATTTATAATAACAAAATTATTTATAGTAATAGGAAAAGTTTTAAGGACTTCAAAGTAATTTATTTATATTCTATTATTTATTTATATATAGTATTAAAATATTACTAATATATAGTACTTTAGACTACTATTAGTAATACTATAGAGTATAGCATTAGTTATAACTATTATAAGTAGGAAGAGAATAGTATAAATATTATTTTAGATTATAATATTAAAGAAGTAAAAGAATATTATATTAATAATTATTTTTCAAATACTTTTTATAGTAGTAGAATTAAAAGTCTTAGTATTACTAACTAGTTTTTAAAACTACTTTAGTATAACTACACTACTATATATTTCTATATTACTTAACTATTATATCTAATTATATATAAAGAAGATAAATATTTTATATTTTATTATTATATTTTTATATTAAATACAAAATACAATATATGTATTTGTATTTCTATTATATTATATAGAGTAAAAAATACAAATATAAATACATGTCGAGCCGCAAAGGGACGCACTAAGGGCGCTCTCCCTGTATTACCTCTCGTGGTGAGACAGACCCTGACCAAACCCATACCAATTATATATAAAGAAGATAAATATTTTATATTTTATTATTATATTTTTATATTAAATACAAAATACAATATATGTATTTGTATTTCTATTATATTATATAGAGTAAAAAATACAAATATAAATACATGTACTGTATTGTATAGAAGAAAAAATGCAAATACATGTATTTGTATTGTATTGTATTTGTATTGTATTTTTTTAACTCTCTGACTACTGAGGCGGATGTTTCGGTTAAGACGAATAATAACGCGTCGGCATGCGGAACTGACAGGCTTTCCTAAAGACGCCAGACGAGGGTGTAACTTACCGTAACGGAATATCCAAAGTAATAATTATAGCTTGATGGGGACTTTCCTCTTCAGCATCGACTGTCTTGTTACACATGCCTTGCTATATTATTATGAAGACGCACGGCCTCCAAATGCCGGGCTTTGATTGTGGACCATGTACTCTAGTCAAGTTCCTCAATCACACACTTAGTTCAAAAGGCTCATGACGAGAATTAAGTGACATGCTCATGCTAAGGACTGGGTGAATGTGGCCCCTTTGAGCAACTTAGAAGGAGGCTGGCATCAAGACGGTCCTTCATACGGCCCCAGAGACTCAGGAGGGAAGACTTTACCTCATACTGCAACATAATGATAGAAAAAGCTTCCATTCTAGCGAACCGGGGAACTCGCCAACGCACACCACCCTAGCCGCGGACCACTGCAGCAGAGTTGAGAGAAATCGCCAGTGGAACGGGCTTAAAAGCTACGGGAACTGGTGCAACAACACAAAGCTATGCGAGGACCTACGCTAGCCCCGCCGACTTCCGCCATAACTCCATCGAAGTCGCCGTTTGGCAATACTGACACAAGGGGATGAGGAAATCCATGTGTGCCTCACTTCGTCACTTTTGCTGCTTGGAAGTAATTTGCCACGTCAAAGAGTATTATCAAGAATGGCAACGTGGCGGACTACATTGAGGATTTCCTCAACCAGCGGAGCATGATACTTGGCTTTACAGGCATCGCAACTCTAGCCGAGGTGTCGTGCAACGAGTGCTAGTGAAGTTGGTCTTTTAATTCGGATTCTTTCGAACCAAGGAGAGCTGGAATCACAATTGTGGAATCATAAGCCGAAGATGGCCATGGCGCGCAACATATAAGACCTTATATTCTGCCTCGTAGGAGGCAGGGAACCAGAAGACAACCAAAAGCTGATCCTTCAGGCAACGCTTGATTCCAAGACGATTGTTAAATGAGCAGAAAAGCCTTGGAACTGTTTACAGACCACTAAATCTGACGATGGTGAAGGCAGTGGGCGGCGAGAGAGTGGTCTCTGGGTTGATTGAGACAGCGGTTGAGACTAAGACAGGTTCGAGGAACTGCTACCGCAACATGAATACAGCACCACAACATCAATAAAGTATATCACTGCCACTGCACATCGAAGTCCTTGAAATGGACGTCAAGATCACTCTTTGCATCCTTCTCTGGCCGGGCCACCAGAGCACCAACCGTCAAGTTCCAGTCCTTGCCTGACGCGTCGTCGTCTCCATACACCCAGCAAACCTCACGCAGCGGCGCCTTGGTGCCATTTTGGTTCACATAGTATATCCAGAGACTTAAGCCGAGGTTGTCCTGAGCCTTCTCGACAAGGACGGTGACGGAATTGGTATCACCGAAAGCGGCGAGAGGGACAATACTCCAGTCGGCCCAGGTATGGCAGGTTACGGTGCTGATCTGCGGGGTGCCGTTGTAGTACTCCAGACCAGTCTTGATCCACCTTTGCTCACGATCGGAGAGAGAGTCAAATGTAAGGATCAGGCCCGCTTGGTCGTATTGCTCCGACCAGTCAGCGGAGAAGGTGATCTGAGCGGATTTGAATTGACTGAGTGACTTGGTTGGAACGGCCTTGGTCGGGGCTGGGATCGTTAGCAGTTACATGATTCTGGAATTATCGCTGGGTCAATGTTACCATTGTAGACATAGTGAGAAGGCGGCTTCTTCCAAACGTCTGTACCGGGAGGGGCAGAAAGGGTGAAGGCATCGGATGACATGATAGACGAGATAGAGTGAAGCGCCAGTGAGAGGTTGAATTGTAGTCGGTGACCTAGCATGAAATTCAAGGTGCGAATGTCGAGGTTTAAATAGGCTAAATCACAAGCAACTGCATGCTTACTTGCTATAACAACCATGTATGTAGTATGCATGGTGTTAGCCAAGTTGACGCGGGCTGCCCCTCACTCGACGAACACCACGATGTATTAGTTGCTAGAGCAAGGAAACATGCAGGGTTCCTCTGGACTAGGCACCTGGGGTGGTTCAATGAGCCCAGAGCCCGCCAATGAAAAGAAACTAAGAGACATTGTGGTTTGTCGCTTTTAGGTGGACCATAGCATGCAGTATGTCAATATGCACGATCTGGCTCGCGACAGTGACGTGAGGGAGATATCGCAGGTGACCTCTCCACAGCGGCGCAGCGATGCGCTTGCGCTGACTAGTTCCCAATATGGCAGTGGCCCCAGCTGCATGGCGGGGAGTTCTCGACACATCGACTGCATCGTGGTAAGTGACCAATTGGAGAAGGAAGACAAAGAAGAGAAAAAAAAAAGGAAAGAAAAGGAAATGTTGCTTTTAAACCCAAAATTTGTACTGTAAATAGACGTGAAAGAAATTTGCAGTTTCGCATCATGAACCAAGGTAGACTCGAACCGGTGGCTCTAGCAGACTGGGAGAGAAATGGAGATTTCCCTTTTGGGAAACAAGGCCATCAGAGGCATGACTCAGCAGCATCTGGTACCCATAACGGTCCTCTTGGTCCCTCGCACCTTCTCCCGCTCGACCATCTCGTCGCCGACCCCACTAGTTTTTTCATTCCTCTCTTCATTCCGCCCACCACCAGTATCCCTCCAGACATCCCACCAACAGCGCCCAGGGTCGTCTTCAATTCACTTACACTCCATTCGTCGACGTCCTCACCGTTATCCGCGTAATTCAACGCGCAAGATCCCACGCAACAGGCCGCGTTCCCCATACAATTGGCCTCTGTCGTCCAAGGTGCAAGCAAGCAGACAGGCTGCGCTTTCTGCTTGGTGCTGGAGAAAAGGGAGGGGCTTCAAGAACATCAACGCCTCTGTATGTCCCATCAATCAGAGCCCCGCCTATTTTTCTGGTTTCATTCTTGCAGCACCTTTCCTGCCCTTCAAAAGCTCTCTTTGGAGAAGAAGCCAGAATAGAAAAGAAAAAGAACACCCCCCCCCTCCCCAAAGAAAGCATTGACACTCGGCCGCCCTGCCTACGAGGGATTATAACACGGTCACGATGTCGTCCTTTCTCACACCGACGAAGAAATCCCAGAAACCGACGGTGGGCAAATCGAAGCCGTTTCAACCCCCCAACCGTATTCGGGCCATTCGTGAACAAGCCGAACGCCAACAGGCAACCGCCGCTGCCGCCGCCGCCAGTGCTGTCGCCCAAGCACAGCTGAACCGCTCCAGAGCACCGACCGTCGCCGTCTCGAACCGCCCACAATGTCCGAACAAAACCTGTGTCAAGCCTAATGTCGTCGATGGCGTGTGCCAGACCTGCGGTCGAGTCGCTGACGACAGCAACATTGTCGCCGAAGTACAGTTCGGGGAGACCTCTTCGGGTGCCGCCATGGTGCAGGGAAGCTACGTCGCCGCCGATCAGGCCGGCGTGCGGACAATGGGCCCTGCTTTCCGCCGTGTTGGTGGCTCCGACGACCGAGAAAAGTCCATTCGCGAGGCTCGCTCCTTGATGCAGGGGTACGCCCAGAGACTCAACCTGAGCGACAACACTGTCAACACCGCCGTTCAGGTCTTCAAGCTCGCATCTCAGGCCAACTTTGTTCAAGGTCGCACCCTCGTCATGGTTGCCGCCGTCTGCCTTTACACTGCTTGCCGCACCGAGCGACCTTGCAAGATCATGCTTATCGATCTTGCCGACCTCACGCAGATCAATGTCTTCAAGCTTGGCCGAGCTTTCAAGGCTCTGAACAGGGTCGTGTACATCTTTGGCAACGGAGAGGCCCCGGTATTCCCCGAGGATATCCTTTTCCGGCTCGCTTCCAAGCTTGAGTTTAAGCACATGACTAATAGGGTTGCTGAAGATGCTGTCCGTCTCGTTCATCGCATGAAGCAGGACTGGATCGTTATGGGCCGTCGTCCATCCGGTATCTGTGGTGCTTGTTTACTCATAGCCGCCAGAATGCACAACTTTAGGCGTACGACCAGAGAAGTCGTCTATGTCGTCAAGGTCACGACCCACACTATACAAGAACGTCTTCAGGAGTTCAACGTCACTGAGGCCAGTAAGATGACGGTGGAGGACTTTCTGTCACAGGACTTCAGTTCCAGTTCGCACGACCCGCCTTCATTTTACAAAGGCACAGAGGCTTGGCAGAAGCAGCAGGAGGAGCTGGGCAAGAAGCGCAAGCGTAAAGTTACGGATGAAGGCCAAAATACCAGAACCGCGCCGGCACCTTCTCTTTCCCCTCCCGACTTATCTACAGCTCCCGCCGTTGAATACCGCCGAGACAAGGACGGCTTCATTATCCCCCCACTTCCTTCCCAGATTGCTCAGGACGAGCCGGCACTACGAGACACGAACAGCACCCAGCATCTCGAAGGCTTGGCAGAGGAGTTTGGTGATGCAGAGAAAGAGAGCGAGGAAGCGTCACGACAGGATGCCACCAATAAGAATGGACGTCAACCTAAGCCTTCTTTGCCCATCGACAACGAGTGGGAGGAGGACGAGGCGCAAATGGAGGAGCAGATCTCGGAGATCATGAACGACCCGGAGACATACGAGCATGCCAAAGCTTTCAGCAACGCTGAGCAGCGTGCCCGCATCCATTCCATCTGGGCGCTTCAGCAGCAGCCCAACAGGGCTGTATCGATGGCACCAGAGGTCGGCGAAGACGAGTTTGCTGATGATCCCGAGGTGTTGAACTGCATGTTGACACCCGAGGAGATCAAAATCAAGGAGTTGCTGTGGGTCAACGAGAATAAAGACTGGCTGCGCCAGTCGCAAGAACGCCTATTCAGAAAGAAGCTCGAAGAGAAGAAACCCAAAAAGGACCGTAAACGGAAGAAGCGACCACGCATTGGTGAGGGCCAGACGACTCCTGCAAGCACACCCGGAGAGGCAGCAGTCAACGTGATGAAGGAGAGAGGCTTCTCGAAACGCATCAACTACGACGCCATCAGGCAAATGTTCGACGTGCCGGACAAGGGTGACCCGGGATCCCGGCCGGAGAGTGAAGCTGCCAGCCGCCCGACCAGCAAGGCGCCCAGTGTGATTGACGAGACCATCTATGAGGAGGAGGAAGAGGAGGAGGAAATTGAACCTCTTGAGGGTCAAGAGTACGAACATCAGGATGATGAGTTTGGCGGTGGAGATGACTACGACGACATGGGTGACGAGTCCCACATGTACGATGAGGATGATCAGGGGATGGGAGAAGAGGACGAAGGCGATGATGACTTCGGACTGAACGACGATGACGAGTGATCGTAGATCGTTGCTGGATGCATCGTCATCCTCTGGGTCAGCCAACATCGAGAACGGCGGCGTCGTCATATTTATATACCCAAGTGCCTAGTACGGTTGGTCGTGTGACAGTACAGTTGCATGCGTCACAGGAGTCATGCATTTGTAGGCCAACGAAGCAAATTTGCAGATTCGTCAAAAGTAATTCTTCTGGTTACTATATTTTCGATTGCCGCTCCTGACTGTGTGTCTTTGGTTGATATACTCTTGTTGTGTTGCGTTAATTACAGCCGGCATGTCTACCCTCGGACCCTTATCACCCAGTTACGCCACTTAGACTAAACTTCAAACGGCGACCAATGATTGTCGAAGCAATTGTGCATGTAGTCACTCCAAGCATGAAGATTATAAGCCAACTTCAGCGAGCCGAAACCATGGTAACTTTCCTTAATAGAGAGGGATAGAGGTACGTGCCAGAGGCTGCAATTGTACGGAGTAAATAAAGGAGGCAACAGTGAGTTGAGCTAGGGGTCGATTGTGACGTTTATTCTGATCTACGGTCCCCTAACCTTTTGTCGCGTCACTCGGTCCTACGTTAACGCGATCTGGACCCGCCGGTCCCCTTCCGGGCCTGTTGTTTTCTGAAAAGCCTGCGTTTTTCGCACCACCAAGCCATTCTAGAACACTCGCTCCAATAAGACGTCTCAACAATCAACAATGGCCGGGTGGCGCAATGGCAGCGCATCACTTTCCGGTGGTGGAGGTTCTGGGTTCGAGTCCCAGCTCGGTCGCATTTTAATTGTTTTGACCCTTTTACCTACTGTGTATGCGTGTGCGCGCGCGTATGTGCAATAGCAGTTTATTTCTTAGCAAAATCCAACTGTCACGTCTACTGAACGTATCAAGTGGCAGGTAGTATATAGAGTGAACCACTTCGTTTTCTAGATTTACCCCTTTATCCTGATAGGACTTGATCCAGATACAACGCGCTTATGTGAACAACAAACAACAACAGTCCGAGCCCTTCCTTTCTGGTCGGCTTGTTTGGGCTACAGAAGATTCCCTACGACTTATCAAAATGTACTTCGTCTAGCTACTCTCTGAATCTCACAGAATGGATGATGTAAAACAGCTCAGTAAATAGCACAAATGTACTACACACGATCTATCTGTGGGCTGCTCTGTCACTGGTGTGAAGTAGCCATGATACAAGAGACGCTGACAAGAGCAGACTTAGAAGCCAGCCTGTCAGGCAGTAAGTAGGTGAGAAGTGATGTTGTGGGGGGGCCCGTGTGCTGGGGAGGTCACGTGACCTCCCGGGCCCCTCACCTTCATCGCCAGCCTCTGCCGTAGCCTTGGGTGGAGGATTTCCTCCATCCATCACCACCACCATCCAGATCACCACAATACCATTGCTATTGTGCTTCACTTCTCGCTGTTGTGCTCCCACAAGTGAAGATGATCAATTGCAATTCACCATGATGACATGATGTGACTGCCATCGCAACCTCCGAGGCTGAAGACCATCCTTACCCGACGAGGTTAAAGCTCGGAGGAACCATTGGCCCATCCTCAAAAAGGCTAAAAAAGGCTGCCGGCGTGCACCAACCGCACCTCTTCCCCGCATCAATATTTGCAGCCCGGGCGAACAGTGACACTGCCAGCGCTGGCCTGCTACGGTCGGTCCAATAGCTGCCATCCGCGCACCTCGAATAGCGTCGGGCCGTCACATTGGCAGGCACACTCACTGCATGAGGGGTTGAAGGCTGATCGGCGAGGCGAGCAGGGGAGAAGTTGGGGGACGACACTAGAAATCCGGGGTAAATATCCTTGCGCTCCTCGGCTCGAAAAGGTCGGGGAACCCTTGGGGAGCATGTGTTTGTGGTGCTTCGTGGTTTCTTTCGTGAGAATTAGGTAGGAGTTTCGGCCAAGGGCGAGGGATGATTTGAGAATTCTGGGACGGCGACGGCGCGATCACACGTCGGCTATGCCTGCATGTGGTAGTTGAACGTCACCTGCAATATGGGATTGCGGGGGGGAATGTACTAGATGAAAGTCTGCTAAGCACTATGATGCTTTGATAGGCGGATGCTTTGTAGTAGTGAGAAAGCTGATGTGACCGAATGTAATGATGGCATGCGAGATGTTCAAGGACAGTATAAAGGACCATTGGAATAGCCGTCTTTGACGAGAAGAGTCCGTGTTTCTTAGCACTTCGACATTCTGATCATGAATCAGTAGCTCGGTAAATCGACCAACATCCAACTTCGTCTAGAAAGACGCTCGCTGCAATGCTCCTGAACCTCTCCCTCCTCGGCCTCTTCGCCGGCTCCGTCCTCGCCGACGGCGCCGCCATCGTGTCCGCCACGGATGAGATCGCCGCATCAAACACGAAGTTGGGCAAAACTGTCGCCTCCTGGGATGGCGGGCTTTTTGGCACGCTGCCCATAGTCGTTGAATCAGCCAAGCTTCTTATCAAGATCAATGAAGCCATTAGCATCGCCCAGGATTCGGCGCCGCTAAATGCCATCGAGGCCATCACTATCGCTCAGTCAACACAAAACCTTGCTGGCGGCGTCGAGACCACACTCGGCAACGTCGTTGACGCGAAGCCAAAGTTCGACAAGCTCTTGCTGAGCCCCGTCATCTTGCTGAATCTCAAGCAGGAGAAGAGCGCCACTGACAAGTTCAGCGCGGCAGTTGTTGAGAAAGTCCCCAAGTCACTAAAGGGTGCTGCTGAGACTTTGGTGGGCAGGATTGGAACAGCGTTCAATGATGCTATTGCCACTTACAGCTGAATGTTGTTTCTAGAGACTTTGACTGGATGAAGGGAGGGGCCAAAGAGGTAGTAGGGCGGACAGGGCCGTGGCAATGACGAGACCATAGCACACTACACCAGTCTTGAGAGTGGATAAACATCCCTTTGTATATATGATCCCTGAATGTAGCAGCAAACCATGGCTATCTCGGCCTTCTGTCAAGGGGAGTGCTATTGCAACACAACTGCTTCCATAAATTGTTGATCTGCACCAGGATGCCGGCCATGAGCACAAGGACTACAAGCAACATAATCGTCACAATGACAAGTAAACATTATTAAATTTCATGCTTTTCATTGATACGAAACTAGGAGACAAAGATTGTCAACTACCTCAAGTCATCTTGGTGCTTGAGGGGGATTTCTCCAACAATTGCAAAAATCAGTTGGCCGCATGGGGCTGACGCCATTCGTCGGGCTACCCTCCTGGCACTGGCGTTAGCCAAGTACCCGTTGCTTTGGTGCTTTTGTCTACCGTCATTCCCCTCGATTTGACGGGCCCGAGTAAGAACTCGTGTAACATAAGAAAATGAAAAAGTCAGTCGGAGCCAGGTATGAGGCCAGGGATGACAAGTGCCCTTTGCTTTGGGGGCAGCATTGTCACGCCATCCTCAAACGTTTTGTGTCGGACATTTCGGATAAACAAAAGGCTGCACCACCACATTAGAGATGCAGCAAGTTGACGTCCGAGATGCTACGTTGGCGCTTATGGCCAATGGGTATCTCGCCGGATGCTTTGCGTTTTTGCGACATTGACTCGAGGGGGCTGCGAGCGAGGTCGCGCATCTGCTTCTTAGACCGCCGGAGAGGTGTTAAGGGAACGGCTGCCGTCTTGAAGCGGTCCGACTTGAGGCCACGCAGGGCAGTGTAGTTGTAAGGACTGCTGAGGGCGAGAGAGTCCTGTGTGGCTTTATCGCTGAGGATGAGTCGCTGGTTAATTTGGTCGCGACGGAAAGCCCCCACGTTGTTGGCGTTGATATGAGAATGTAAGTCCACATCGCTCGATGTCGTACGTGGACGAACAGGGGTAGAACCCAGGGGGTCGCCATCCCACTGGTTTTCCTCGTCCTCCTCGCCAGAGGAATGATTTTCATCGAACTCGATGAAGTCGCTGATATTGAGGCTCTTCTCCACCTCATCGTCTCCCCCCTCCTCGTCAAAGCCCACGTCTGAGCTCTCATCGGCAGTATTGGGTTCCGAAGGGAAGGGGAAAAAGGCTTCGGCAGGCCCCATGGCTTGTGTGTTGAGGTAATCACCAAACGTGTTGGACGAGAACATGGCGCTCATCATGATCTGGGCAGAGCTACTGAGCATGGGAGAGTTCTGGTTCTCGTCAATGGGAGGCAGATACTGGAAGTTGAACTGTTCAGGTGACAGATCAAGCTGGCGGCGACGGTGGGGAGTGAATATCATCATCTTGCGGGATATGGGGTTAACGACAGCAATGGGCTTTCGCTCAGAGTTGTCTAGGTTGAAGCGGCCAACACGCGGCCGACCTCTTTCGCCCTTGACCGGGAGATCCGTATCAGAATCGTCCCACTGGCTAGCGGGCGGTTCAGGGCGCTTAATCTTGCGGCGGACAACGGGTTCCGGTTCATCTTCTTCAGTTGTATCACCATCAGCTAATCGGGAAGTGTCAGCAATCACAAGTTCTCCAGTCCTCGTCACAAAGCACAAACTCACTCTCATAGCCGTCTAGCTCTTGGGTTTCCTCAAAAGCTGCGACCGGAGTGGGCATCTCGGAGACTTCGCCGGCTGCCATAGGGGTAGCGATGGGTGTGTCATCGTCGCCGAGCTCCTGAACTAGGGCCTCAACATCTGATTCGGCGTCAGGAGCGTATCCATAGGCTCCATGGTAGTCGCCATGGTAGTCCCAGAATGAGTTCGAGTTTTCAGACTCGTCATTTTCATCATCATTTTCGATCTCGCGGCGGAAGGCCGGGTCGAGAGAGCTTTGGTCAACAAATATGTCAGGGAAGAAGTCGGCATGGTCATCCTCGGTGTCGGTGGAGTCGGAATCACTCGAGGGGACATCAAAGCGAACATGCCGTTCGACTGACCGTTGATGGTGGTCAGAAGCTGCACTTTCATCAATCTCGGACATGATGCCGTCCCAACTCGCGCTGTCCTCAACATCGGCAGCGCCGTCTTCCTCATCTTCTTCTTCCTGTTCCTGATCGTCTTCTTCTTCATCGTCGTCGTCATCTCGGACAACGGGCGGCCGAGGGGGGCTCTGTATATTAGAGGGGGGTAGCACCTCGTGTAGAATATGCTCCTCCTCGGCCGCATCGACATCCTCCTCATCGTCGTCGGAAGAATCGCTGATGTCTTCGACTGCAGAGTAGCCTCCGTCGTCAGACAAGTCAAAGGACGAGGAGGATGTGATGGAGTCGCAACGCTTCGTGGCCTTGCGGGAAGCCACAGAGGACTTGTTGCGAATGTTGCGAGACATTGTAGCAGTCGTGCAGGGAAACGGTGTGGTATTTAGAGGGCGTGGTCGGTTACTGTATGTATGCCCAATGGGTTATGGCTATGGCGTAGGTGTAATTCTTTTGCTTTGTGCTCGATGCTATGATGCGCGACATATGTATTGTATTGTCTTTAAGGTGTTGAGGACGGAAAGAGGTATAGAGGTGGCTGGAGTAGCCGAGGTGGAAGTCGTGGAGGTCGGGAGAGGTGGATGTGAAGATATTTTCTTCCAGCGGATAGGCCTCTCGTAGCCCGGTGAATAGTGGGCTTGGTGGTCGATTTGGGTGAAATCAGATGCAGACTTCCGTGAATGGGCCAGAGCCGTCCCGTTGGAGGGCACCGGACAGTGAAAGCCTGGGTTGAACTTCGTCGAGAATAAGAGAAGGGATTGAATGTCTCGATGGCTGCTGGACTGCAGAGGTGCCCAGCGCAGGCACCCCCGCAGTGGGCGTTTACAGCTCAGCGAAAGCGGCGGACATGATTCTCGACGAAGTGTAGTATCAAGTTCTAGGGGTGCTCCTTTCAAAAGGTGTAGGGCGACTTCGTTGTCTCGTGGAATTTGGATTTGTGCTGGTGGTGGTTGAGATGGGAAAGAGTGAAAAAAGGAAGGGAAGGGGTCAGGCACCGGGATCCCGAAAATAATATGGCACCCCAGTTGCCGCTCCGTTCTTGCGTCTTGGTACGGTGCTCCACACCCAATCGACTTTTTTTTTTCTTTTCTTTTTTTCTTCTCCTCCTTCTGTCTTTCACTTTTACCCTTCATGCTTGCCTGCCTTTTTTTTTTCCCTTTTTTGCTTCTCGACATCCCCGTTCGGTGGGGTTTTCAGGTGTGGGAACCTGGCATTGTCTGGTTCGCTTAAAGTGGGGAGCGAGCCAACCTAACCGCTTTCAGCGTGCCGTCACCGCCATTTCACGATTTGTTCCCCTGACGCCTCCGACTAATGCCCTGCAGATGCTGAAATTCTGCTGGAGACGCATCGTCATTAGTGGATCAGATCACTAAACTGTGGAGGAAAGGGCCCTGAGGGGAAAAGCCTGGCGTCTGCAACTCGTCGTCCCCTCTCTCCCAGGTTCAAGTCGAGCTCAAACGACCTCTGCCCCTCCTTCCGGTTGTGTCACCTCACCCTGCGTGCCTGCCTGCCCCCGTCCGTGAATGTCTTCAACCAGCCCCTCCTCCACCTGTCGTCATCTGTCAAGCTGGTCCAGATCGACATGGGTATAGGCTGATTATGTCTCTCATCATGGCAGAGTCTAACTCCCGGCTTTTCCCTTATGACCCCGTAGCATTAGCCTTGACGACCCAGGACAGGACATCATCAACCACCAACTATTAGCCAGAGCTAGAAACTGAGGTGTTCATCTCACCGTCCCCTCCTGTTGACACCTCTTCACCCATAACAGTGTCAACAGCAGAAACCAGCAGGAGCAAGAGGTGCAGCATGAGGCCAGCCAGCACAAACTTACTCTTACACCAGACATTGTGGATCAGAATCCCATAGCATCGAGGTTTCCCAGTCTGACTCTTTACATAGTGACATTCCTCACCCACATTGGGCTGTGTCGAGACACTAGGCCCACTGTTCGCCTTGCAGACGCAGAATTAGTGGGTGAGGTCTGCTGATTCGCCTCGGCTTCCACGACCGTTTTCATGAGAGGCAAGGATTCCAGGAGTCGATGGGCAATCGAGGGCCAAATCATCATTCTTCCGCCTCTTAGCAGACAGGCCCTTGGGCACCCCGTACACTATACCTAATGTCAACTGATCTGTCATGTAACTGAATCTAGAACCAATCATTCTCAAATGCAGCCACCCATTATGAGCCACGTAAGGAAAGAGGGAAGTCAATTTTCCCTTGTCTTTTTTTTTTTTTTTCCCTCTCCAAGCTCCGACGAGCGGGGCCACACTCGCTCGCACTGCCTCGGATGGCAGTGGTCCCAGTTGTATGGCTTCTTGCTGTTCATGACTCACAGACGGAATATGAGGGGTTGTCAAGCCGGGTGATGCTTGCGCCAGACCTCAACCATTTGACTTCGAGCCCCAGCAAAACTTTGACCAAGAGGCAGGTAGCTGTATTGTAGCACTGTAGACTGTGTTGGTCGACGCAGGACTGGAACTCGAGGAAAAAAAGGGGGAAGGGTCCTAGAGCTGGCGAACCTCCCCTCTCCACCCCACCTTTTTTTCTTTCTTTCAAAGACAAACGGCAGAAAGGTCTTTGGCCAACCATACCTACCTTCCACAATACCTATACTTTGGTCTCATCTTGCCGTGACTCTACGCCGGGGTCTGACTCAAAACCAAGATGGGAGGGATGATGCTGCCATACTCAGGAACAAAGGTACCGGATTGCCTGACCAGTCGGGCCGTAGGCAACATGCACTGCGTTTTTGTTCCCCTTCGGTCGGAGCTGGCGCCACACCATAACTCGATCCCCGCCGGGAACAAGCCCAACTCAGGACTGTGTCTCAGTGGAGAGCACCGTGCAAAACGTGGCAGGGTCAAGATTGGTACCAGGGAGGCACGTGCCCCTTCCTTCCACTTATCAAATCGGGACAGCAAAACCATCGCTTATCTTATCGTCGGTTGCCTGGTCATCGCAGTAAACAAGGATTGAGTGAGTCTCTTTGGCCATTTCAACATTCGCGCCCCGGACCCAGCTCTGTCAACTTCGACCAAGGGCAGCATCATCAACGCGATTGACGTGCCTCGCTCGACAGTAACCGTCGCGAACACTCGAATTCTTCCATATGCGAGATAAAAACGCAGATTTCAATCATGGATTCCTCATCTTCGCAAAAGTCCGCCAACCTATTCCAGGTCTATCTGCGGTTGCGACCGCCTCCTGCCGGCGCTGCTCAGTCTGATCGATTTTTGGATGTCGAAGAGTGCGATGAAGACTCCCACCCCACTCACATCACCATGAACCCACCAAACGATCGGAAACGTTCAACGGAAAAGTTCGCCTTCACTAGGGTTTTTGAGGAAGATGCAACACAGCTCGACGTTTTTCACTGCATAGGAGTCGCCTCACTTGTCGAGGGAGTCTTGGCCCCTCATGGCGGTCAGGGCACCGATGCTCTGATTGCTACTCTAGGCGTCACTGGTTCTGGGAAGGTAATTCAGAGTGATGGTCACCTATCATCTGTGGATGCATCATGACTGACATTACACATAGTCTCATACCATTCTCGGATCGCGTTCAACACGAGGCATGACCCAGCTCGCCCTCGACGTCGTCTTCCGATCCATTGGCACCAACCTGTACGACTCCCCGGACCTAGAGGGCTCTCTTCAAGCCTCCGATTTTTCCGACGCCATTATCATTTCGGCACCGTACTTCCTCGAGACTGTGTTTGCGGACTTTGGCTCCTCCCGCGGGGGAGGATCAAGAGCAGGAACGCCCATGCTTGTAGGAGACCCTGTTTCCCTTCTTCGCACCCCTTTCCTACGTCTTGGCCGCCATGAGAAACCACATCTGCCCCCGTCCATGTCTGTGTTTGGGGATGTGCGCCTAGTGCCTCCAACTCCAGACTCCCCGCGGCGCAAGCAACGTGATGCTCTTTCGACGCTAATGCTCGAAGAGCATCTTGAGCATCAAGGTGATGCGCAAAGGCAATTCATGACCATGACTGTTGCATCCAAAACGAAAGACGTTGCTAAAACTTCGACAAAGGGCGAACATTATCCTCCACCAACTCCTCGACGAAACCTTCAGCGACCCTCAGCTCTCCCTTGCTCTCCCGATATCAGCTCCGTTAACGTGTCCTCTGACCCCGATTGTGACTATGCCGTCGTGCTGTCCATGTACGAAGTATACAACGACAAGATCTATGATCTTCTGACTCCGCCTATCAAGTCCAATGCTACAAAAGAGTATCGACGACGACCTTTGCTCTTCAAGTCGACTGAATATTCCGCTGACAGGAAGGTCGTTGCTGGCCTAAAGAAGATTGTGTGTACCAACATGAGGGAAGCTATCATGGTGCTTGAAGCTGGTTTACACGAACGCCAAGTTGCTGGAACTGGAAGCAACAGCGTCTCTTCTCGTAGCCACGGTTTCTTTTGCGTCGAGGTAAAGAAGCGGGCCAAGGTTGGACGGGGTCGCGCCTGGGTTGGCAACACATTAACCGTGGTTGATCTTGCTGGAAGCGAGCGCGCTCGAGATGCAAAGACCCAGGGGGCGACCCTTGCTGAGGCTGGCAAGATCAATGAAAGTCTTATGTATCTGGGGCAATGCCTTCAGGCGCAAAGTGGTATGGGCAGCAGTAACAAGGTACGTCAAGTTGCAAGCGCTGCACCAAATCTTGTGAGTCTAACAATCATCTTTCAGCCGACTGTCATGCCTTTCCGCCAGTGCAAGATGACTGAACTGTTGTTCTCCAACTCGTTCTCTGCGACATCCTCTGCAGGAGTTGTGCCTCGCCGAAATGCCCAGCGAGCCGTCATGATTGTGACGGCCGACGCACAAGGTGACGTTAATGCTACCTCACAAATCCTCAGATACAGCGCTCTGGCGAGAGAAGTCACAATACCTCGTATACCAAGCATCACGTCAACCCTGCTTGCAGATACTCCCACAACCTCGCATCCATCTGCAGGAATTAGATCTCCTGATTTGCCGCAACATCGACGAGGCTACTTTGGCCACGGATCAGCGGGACATCGCAGCTTTTCGCCAGGCTCTGATAACGAAGACAGGGTTCTTATGGAGCATGCTGCACTGGAGATTGCTCGGATGCAAGAAGAGATAACGAATCTCCATATCGAGCTTGATAACGAGCGCGAAGCGAGAATATCTGCCGAGGCACATCTTCTCAGCATGGAAGACAGACTGCTAGATGTAGAGCAGACGGTGCGTGAAGACTGCATGGCCGAGTTCGACGCTCGCTTTGAAATGGAACTGGCCCGCTGGAAGGCGACACTCGCAGCAGAACAGGAGAAGGGAGAAGAGCACTGGGACCGGAAGATGGAGCTCTTCGAGAAGGGTCTTGGTGTCACCTTGGCAGAGGACGACAACGCCGGCGATGACAAGGAAAACTTACTGATCGAGGACCTCGAAGACGAGAATGAGAGACTTCGACGTGAAAACGAGGTTCTGAAACGCGAACTTGCAGCGAGAAGCCCAACTAAGCGCAAGCCGCTCCAAGAACGAGCCGACTTCAGCGGCCGCAAAGCAGGCACTGGTGTAAGCAATCTAGGCCAAAAGATGGAGCAGCTGCGCGTTAGCAACGAGAGTACAGCTGGCACTAGTAACTCTGGGAGCCCGAAGAAAATGCGGAAGCTCGCAACAAAGCGCTGTGAGACGGTCAACGATCATGACTTTTGATTGACCGAGTTACACAATAATCTTGGGAGATGATTGCGCCGGTTGGGTAGGCTTGTTTTTCTAGCATATACCCATGTTTTGGTCGAACACTCATTCTTTTGTGGAAGGGGGTTCAGGCGTTCAGGCCCAAGGAGCTGAGCAGGCAATGTCTGCGATGACAGACCATATATAACATTAATTAATGCTGTACGAGCTTTGTAGTGTTTGTCTCGAGCGTTACACTCTTTTCTGTCTAGTCAACCTCGCGACTTCCGCCTTGACTCCTTGCCTCGCGCTTCTCCTTGACTGCATGTTTGTTCCAGTCTCTGCACATTCTTTCCTCGTCACCGTCAACAGACTTGATTGGCTCAGCATTCTAAGTGTTACTTTCACCTGCCGTTCATTGATGCTGTCTCTCCAATCACTGGATTACTTAACAATCCATCTCACCTCATCTGCAGGCTTGCAGCAAAGTCTTGATAACGTTCTGATTCTCAACTCCAGTGCACGGATGCCATTGTTTGTATATTCACAGGACAGTGGCATCACGCCTCATTGTCTCCCGATACTCATTAACCCTCCTCGGTATCCATGTCGTCGTGGCGCCGCTTTCTACCGCCACCCGCACCGCCTCTCTTTCCCTTCAGCGTCGATCCCTTCTTGCCCTTCGTCTCCATGAGGTTTTTCATCTCCATTCTGGCATGTCTCTGTGCCTCTTCAACACGGCTTTGGAACACCATGACCTCTTCTTTCTGCGTGGGATACTCGTCCTGCTTTTTGCCAAGAGCAGCCTCAATGCGCAACCATATTTCGAGGTCGTATTGTGTAACAAGGCTCAGGGCAATACCCGACTTTCCAGCACGCGCCGTTCGGCCTATACGATGCACATGTGTTTTTGAATCCTGGGTGCTCGTTAGACATTGATCATGCGTGATAATAGGTAAGCATGGGAGGAGTGCAGCTATATCATGTAGAAAGGCATAAAAGAAACGCTGAAGCATGTTGCTTAACCCATCCACTGCGAATAGATAAGGTACTGGTGGTGCAGTGGACAAGCCCATCCCAATACTATTGGCGATTTTCCGCCAAGACCTGAAAGCCTAGACCATGCAGAGGAAGTGGGCTCGGGAGATATTTCGTACCAACATGTCTCGCAATCGACAGGATAACGGAAACGTTCACTGCCTCCAACAAGCAATCCGGTGGATCGTACAACTAATGGGAAAGCACGTACCTGGGCTAAATCATGGTTTATGACGACATCTACGAGAGGAATATCGAGTCCTCGGGCAGCCACATCAGTAGCTACTAGGATTGATCGCTCTCCTGCGCGGAACTTATTAAGGGCTCCGAGACGGGCTGTCTGGTTGAGTTGGCCATGGAGGGGAATAGCGCCGAAACCTAGCGTACGGAGCAGGATGGCTAATCTTTGCGTTTCGGAAACTGTTCTCGTAAAGACGACTAGCTTTTTGCCAGCGAACTCGTTGGCTAGGTAGACAAGGTAGGTGTCTTTCAGCTGGTGCGGTATGAAGAGGTAGTATTGCAGGAGAGTTGAGACGGTCTGGTACTTGTTGGAGCTGATGCTAACGCGTACGGGATCGCGCAGACTGGCTCTTTGCAAACTCTCAATCTTAGAGCTCATGGTGGCGGAGAAGAGAAACGTTCGGCGTTCACGGGGTATGAACTTGAGAATCTTGTCGATGCTGGGGCCGAAGTCCATGTCCAGCAACCGATCGGCTTCGTCCATGACGAGGTATTTGAGAGAGCGCAAGGAGAACCCTTTTGTCTTTTCCAAATGGTCTACCAGCCTTCCGGGTGTTGCCACGATGACATGTGGCTTCTTGCCAAGGGCGATGGCTTGAGCAACCTGTGAGTTATATTTAGCGTATCGTTCTGTCAATCAGAAGTTAAACATGTTTGAAAACTATCAGGGTCGCTGTAAGGTTGGCTTGGAAGAATAGGATTGTGACGTGCGATGAGAAGCGGAGATATCATTCACGAACAGGGAGGAGACAGGAAGAGTTACCCTAGATAGAGTTGGAAAGTAAGTACGTGCGGGGGGACGGGAATTGTTGAGGCTTACATATCTAGACCACCCACAATCACTGCTGTTCTGAGCGAGATCAAGCTGCCAAGAGCTTCGAACTGCTGGCCGATCTGAGCGGCCAATTCTCTTGTAGGTGCCAGTACCAACCCGAAGAATGCTTGAGGCTTTTCCAGGAGAGCCTGGATTACCGGCAGCGCGAACTAGACATCCCGGTGTTAGTATACGCTCATACTCCCTGATTGTAGCCGCGTGAGGACAGTAGATAAATCAGCCAGAGGACAAAAGTCAAGGGGGTTGTAGCAGTATAAAAGCCAGTTAGATATAAGGATATGTCTCCCAAAATCGAGGTGAATTAACTCCTCTATCAGGGCAATGAGGGGACAAAGGAAGCATCGGGGTGTTGGGTGAATATTGACGCAGTTCCATTGATGGTTTCCTGTGAGAGACTCCCAGACTAGGCGTGAACCCTTGGGCAGATTCTCGTTTCTTATAAATCAAAAGAAAGAGGTAGGTCTGTACTAACCGCCGCTGTCTTTCCCGAACCAGTTTCGGCCAGGCCGATGATGTCGCGATTGGCTAGGGCATGTGGGATCGACTGTGCCTGGATGGGAGTGGGTTTTGTGTATCCGAGATTAGCGCATGCGTCGCAGAGAGAGTCGGCAACTCCCTAACAAGTGGTTAGCAAGGTATTTCAAAGTGAATAGTTGAGGGTCTTGAGGCCTACGAGATCCTTGAAGCTCTTTGTGACCTCCTCTGAAGCGTCGGCAGTAACACCACCCTCGACTTCGGGTTGAGAGGCGACTGATGAGGCGGGAGACGAGTCTCTGTCAGTGACGCGGGACTCCTTGACAGGGGAGCTCTTTTGCGAGATCTTTTGTCGCTTTGTAGGAGGCATTTTCGTTAGGGATTTTGCGAGTTGCGGTCCGGCGCAAAGAAGTGAAGTTGTGATTTGACGGCGCAAAAGTTAGCAGGTGGGCGCGATGACATCCCACGCCCAGCAGAATGTTTTTAGTGGAGCAGTGCTCTTATCAGCACGTGCATCGCCTTTTTTCGCCTTATCGCCGCCGCCCCGCCAAAAAATTTCTTGCGAAGAGAGACGGAGAAGCTGAGCCAGATCTTCCCATTTACGGACTCTGGGAGGGTTTTCCATCCAGCTCAACCGACACCAGGACTCGCCCAAATGGCGCGCAAAAGAGTCAAGAAGAGAACGCACGTTGGTGCCAACAACCCCGCTACCGTTGCCGAGAATCATGGCTCCAAGGACCCCAAGAGTATGGTCATCCGCATCGGCGCGGGCGAGGTCGGCTCCAGCGTCAGTCAACTCGCTGCCGATTTCCGAAAGGTCATGGAGCCAGGAACTGCTGCCCGCCTGAAAGAACGCAGAGCAAACCGATTGAAGGATTACGTCGTCATGACCGGCCCCCTCGGCGTCACTCATCTCATGCTCTTCTCCCGCTCCGAAAGCGGCAACACCAACCTGCGCGTTGCCCTCACGCCTCGCGGTCCGACGTTGAATTTCCGAGTCGAGAAGTACTCCCTTTGCAAGGATGTTCAGAAGGCCCAAAGACGCCCGAAAGGCAGCGGAAAGGAGCAGCTTGCGCCTCCATTGGTACAGTCTCTCGATGCGTTTTCGTGTTGAGCTTTTACTAACTTGTTGTAGCTGGTCATGAACAATTTCCACACGCCCGATGCCGATGCAACCTCCAAGGTTCCCAAACACCTGGAATCTCTAGTGACCTCTGTATGGTCCAGCGTCTTCCCACCCTTGAATCCGAATGCGACCCCCCTCAGCAAGATCAAGCGAACGTTACTACTCAATCGAGAGAACGACCCTGAAAATGAAGGGTCTTTCATCATCAACCTGCGGCATTACGCCATCACCACACGCTCTACCGGCATCTCGAGACCATTACGCAGACTTGAGAAGGCCGAGAAGCTATTAGCCTCAAAGACGAACGGAAAGGGTGGTATACCGAACCTCGGAAAGCTTGAGGATATTGCCGATTTCCTTCAAGGCGGGGAGAATGGCGACGGATATCTCACGGACGCTACGAGTGGCAGCGAGATCGATAGCGACGCCGAGGTCGAGGTCAAGGAGCAGAAGGCCCAAAAGATCAAGAAAAGCGCCGCTCCTGTTGACGACGAAGCCGCGGATGAAGATGACGCCGTCGAGAAGCGCGCCATCAAGCTGGTTGAACTGGGACCGCGTATGCGCCTGCGCTTGACCAAGGTTGAAGAAGGCCTGTGTGCTGGCAAGATCATGTGGCACGAGTACATCCACAAGACCAAGGAGCAGGTCAAGGAGTTAGAGAAGCGCTGGGAGAAGAGGCAGCAGGAGAAGGAGGCCCGCAAGAAACAGCAAAAGGAAAACATTGAGAAGAAGCGGAAAGCCAAAGCCGAGAAGGGCGAGGCTGCGGACGATGACAGTGACGTAGAGATGGACTATGACGACGAGTTTGACAGCGAAGGTCTTGAGGGTGATGCCGAGTACAAGGTCAATGAGGGTATGGAAGCCACTGGGGAATGGGAAGACGAAGAAGACGAGATTGTCAACGGTTGAAGGAGTTGATGCAGGTAGCCTGCGGGCACCTCTAGTAAATAATACCCCAGAAATGGCATGTTTCTTAACGTTTATCGTAAGAAGAGGCAGCTAGGAGTTCGAATAGTAGTTTCGCATAAAAACATCTTATCGCTGGGTGGTCCTTGAGTCTTATTTGTAGCAGTGAAGAAGCCAATTTTGATGAATGGGTTTCGATTCCAAGGCAAAAATAGGTATTCGTTGCATTAGTTCAAGTTTTCTGCTATATATCCGATGGGCTGCATGCCCCAACTGTGCCGTTTTGATAGTAGACTCAACCACCGACCCCTGTTGCGTGTGGCGACCGAGCCTTCGATGCCACCTACCATTCTACAGCTTATGCCTCTTGCCCGTTTGAGTGCGGAATGGTCGGGACTTTGAGATACCTAAATGGCTGTTTATATAAAGCCAGCATATGCGCCAGCAAACAACGGAATTTCTGAATTCTCTTGCCACCAACTGGGTATAACCACATCCTTTCCAACCGTAACGACTTGCAACACCACGTGGTCTGCGCCTTACTGAACCTACAGCCAGCGCCAGGCTGTGGCTGTTCGTCGTTATGCCCAATGTTCCGCCCAAGTACAGGCCCGAGGTCCAGAAAGTTCCCGCAAACACATCCATGGAGGACATCATCTACCTCCTCAAGCGTGATGGCGGTGTCTTTCTCAAAAACCTAATTAATCCCTGTCGCCGATATTGAGAAAGCTTACGAGGAATGCCGGGAATGCCTAGAGAATGATGTTGAGTGGAATGGGTCATTTTCCCCTAATGTATTGGGAACTGACCCTAGTTCCCCCATTTGTAGTGCTTTAGAGCTACTTTGCCCTCAGAGCAGACACGTGGGCGTCAGCCGTACTGAATCTCAGCCCTACCTATGCCAAGACCCAGGTAATGAATCCTGTCTATCAACAGGTGTGTAAGCACTTCTTAACCACCTACCGATCCCAGCGGACTGTCACAAACATGTCTCTTTACCTCTAGAACCTCTCCAAGACGTATTGGATTGAGTCTCGCGTAATGTTATGGCCGGTAGAGCTAATCGTCAGAGACGTAGTTTCGGCATCTCGGGCCAGGGAAAACCCAGCAACCTCTTACGATCTCACTCGACTACATTGGCGACCCTTCAACGATACACCGGCCAACCACAGACTGCGTGCATGCCTTGATGCACCAAGTTCTTGAGGACTTCAGCATCGCCTGTGCCGTCGTCAGCCGCGGATTTCCTCTCCGAGGCAGTTTGTGCCCCTTGGCCGTCGCACTTGACTGAATCTCGCGCCTGGCCGGGGAAATGCATTACTAAGAACCCACCTCAAGCATGATGAATCGCGACAACGAAACTGACGATACAAGAAACTATCAAGCACACTCCGGCTGCAATCGCAGCGGCGCCGATGATCCCAGTACTCCACGCATGCAGATAGAATATATACTCGACAGTACTTTGCTGGCCCTGAATCTCATTCTCGAAGACAGCGCGCTGCATCAGTTGTATGACTAATTGAAATCAATGTAGTTGTCTGACTATTTCCTCGAGCTCGTCTCACATTAGAGGGGCAACCATCTCCAGGCCCTCAAGATTGACGCCGGGAACAGGGGATTGATGGCAAGGGTGCTGTCAAAGGTGGCGGAATTACACGTGAATTAACCGGCGAACGCTGGGGAGCGCCTCAAATGGCAGCGAGAATCCTTGCGTTAATTGATTGTTCTGATTATTTGTATCTGTAAGGGTGCACAGGTCGGGGGGGGGTATTCCAGCTTCGGGGGAGGGGGTATCCGGAAAGTAGAGCAAACTTCGGGGGGGTGTAAGGGTTATTTATACACTATTTATTACATAACTTTACGCAGTACAGTGCCTCTACAAGGGGCCTAAGTTAAGGGGGGGGTTATTAGCTAGCTAGTAAGGTATAAGTTATTTTTAGTATATATAAGTTATATATAGGATATTAGTTAAATATATACTTAGTATATATAGGGTATATACTAGTATATATAAGTTATATATAAAATATTAATGAAATATATAGTTAGTATATATAAGGTATATATACTAAAGATATATAATTAGAGGTAGTTAAGGTAGTAGTAAAGAAGGTAGTTAAGGAGGTAGTTAAGGAGGTAGTTAGAGATACTAAAAGATAGCTTATAAGTTAAGTATTTTAATTAAGAAAAAAAGAAGAAGAAAATAGTTATATAAGTAAAATAAACTTAGTATATACTTAGCCTTAGTAAATTATATACTAGGTATATACCTAGTCTTTTTTAAGCTTAATAGACTATATATTAGATAATACTTATTAAATATAGTAGAATTACATGTAAATTAACTAGTAAATACACAGTTGCCCTATAGCAAATTACTAGAGAATAGGCAGTAAATTAGCCCCACTTTAAGGAGTTAATCTACTAATTAAATAACTAGGATTAGTCTAGGATTTCCTTACCTAGAAATAAAGGAATTTCTACAGTTCTATAGGTTCTTAACTAGATTAACATAACATATTATATAATTAATTAATTAACTATTATAATCCCTACTATTTAATAATTAATAGTCTAATATATATATCTATAATAACTAATATACCTATCTACTAAATAGTATTATTATAATAAGTACTAAGAATAATAATAATAAAGTAACTATCCTATAATTATATAGTAATTAGTTTATATAGCTTAACGTTATCTAAGTAAAGGCAAAGCGCTATAATCTCTAGGAATATATTAACCTAGAAGTTATAGCAGCAGACTAATTAATCCTTAAAATATATCTAAGAAAACTAATAAAGCTACTTACTATATAATATCTATACGTGTTATCTAAAGAGGAGCTTACTACTTACTAAGAAGTTACTATAGCTATAGTAATTACTAGGGTATCCTAGTAAGTAACTATATAGCTATATATAGTAAACAGTAGGGCTATTATAGCTATACCTAATAGGCTTATATATAAATCTAAATATATAGTAACACTAAATAATCTTAACTTATATAATCTTATATACTTAAATAGCTAGATAAGCTATTATTATAAAGAAGTATATAAGTATACTACTTATTAAAAAGATATTAAAGGTATAACTAATATAGTTAAATCTACTATATCTATAGATCTTTAAAAAGAATATTATAAGTCTACTAAATTACTAGCTAAATTGCTTAATAACCTAAGCGTAGTAGTAAGAATAACTAAGGAAGAATATATAAAGTATACTTATAATAAGTATAGTAAAGTGTTAGTAAAGGCTTAGTAAAAGGCCTTAACTACTAAAAAAGATCTTACTATATAGCTTAATAAATAAAATATAGCCTATAGTAAGTTAGTATAAGTTAATTTACCTAACTATTAACAGCTAGTAATTTAGTTTAATAATATTATTACTATACTATAAAGTAGCGTACTTAGCGCCTAGCTAGATTTATATATAGTAACTAGTAGAATAATAAGTAATTAAAATAATCTTAAATAGTAATCTCTTTATAAGATAGCGCTAGATAAGGTTAAAGCCTTTACTAATAACTTACTATATTATAGCTAAGTAGGCTATAGTGTGTTTAGCCTAACTAGAAATAATAATAATAGCCTATTATATAGTAAAGCTATAGTAAAAGAAAATAAAGTTACTAATAAGAGGTATTACTATTAATAAAGTATAAGTAAAAAAGTAAAGTACCTTATATACTTTAGCACCTATCTGTTATAACTTTATTATTTTATAAATAAATTATAAAGGCCTAATAATTAGTAGGTAAATACGTAACGTTAGTAATAGATTAATAAGTATATTATAAGTAATCCTAATCTTACTAAGTAAGTATAAAGGATTAAGGCTAAGTTATATTAACTATATAGTAAATACTATATAAAGATAGCCTTATATACCACTTTATAAGGCTATAAGTTAGGTAATTTAGCCTTACTTAATTTAGGTACTACTAACTATATATTTAACTATATATTATAGTTTATTACGTTAGTAGTAGCCCTAATTAGTAACTATATCTAGGTAGGCACTACCTAAGTTATAATTAAAAGATATAGTACTATAAAGATTACTTTAAAGGGCACTAATAGCTTACTAATAAAGCTTTATATATATAACATAATATATTATAGCGTATTTACTATATTACTTATTTTCTTTATAAGGCTATACTAGTAAAGTATATAGTAAGATATAAGCCTAGGTAGTAATTACCTAAGACGTACTAACTATAGCCTTATAAGCTATATAAAAAAGTAAGGTAACTAATAAGTACTTAAATATTATAAGTAATATAGCTATAGCTAAGAAAGTAAAGACGCTTTTACTATACACTTTACTAATAATTTACTACTAAACTTATAAGTAAGAAATAAATATATAATATTAATATAGTAATAACTACTTTATAGTAATATAATAATATAGTATAAGCGTCTTAGCTACCTAGGTGCTAAGGCTTTATAAAAGATTATAAACACTATATATAAAGTATATTTAACCTAAGTTAATACTATAATAATATAAGACTATAATTTATATAGTCTTAGTAAAATAAAGCAGTAGATTTACTACTAGCCTTATAAATTAATTATAAATATAGCGCTAGGTAATTACCTAGCGCTAGACTTTTATAATCTTAAATAAGGCTAAATAAGATACTACTTAGTAATAATAATCTTAGATTAAGTAATAGGCCTTATATAAGATTTCTACTTATATAGCTACTACTAGGATACTATTAAATTAATAATAAGGGGTTTTTTTATAATACTAAAAACTAAATATTTAATTATACTAAAAGTTATTAAGGCTAACTAAGAAATCCTATGCCTTAAGTAATATATAGATATACTTTTTAATTATAGAATCTCTATTAAGCTATTAGTAGTAAATACCTAGGCTTAAAACAGTAGCGCTAAGTAAATTACTATAATTATTAAACTTAAGGCGTAATATATATAGATTAATATAAAATTACCTAAAGTCCTA